CGTGCTCTTCGGCGACGGATAATGTCATACCGCTTTTGCAGGGACAGCTCTTCACCTGTCACGTGACGGCTGAACTATTTAACCTGCTCAAAAAAAAAAACACTGCACCCATTCCAGCAAGACCTACTCTGAGGCTGCTGCGCTGGTTTCGGTATAGCTTCATGAAAAGCTCGAACCCCTCATCCTGTGATCTGTTGCGCTGCACCTGTCGCCACCTGTTAAAACCTCCATAATGGGCTTCATGCTTGAATGCCTTCGCTTCGGCTGCATCGGTTGCAATCTGATCAGGATCACTGTCTTCATGCTTTTGGCTCCCAGGGTGTGTGCCGGGGTCTGTGCCAGGAGTGTCCTTCTTGCCATGCTCCTTAGCAGAATCTTGTGCCCGCACCTCACTCTCGCCAGCTCGCTCAAGAATTGCCTTGATATCCGAACGCAAGCAATAATACACACTGACCGGGCTCATCTTCATCGGCATCTCACGCAAATGTCTTTGGATTCTGTTGGTAATCTCGACTTCTGCATCGTATAGGATGTCACCCACTTGGGTGGCTTTGCCAGCTTCCACGTTTTGCAATGTTTTTTGCACGCTCTTGAGGCTGTCAGCCCGGTTGAGGAACGCAGATCCTGGGTTAGTTACCATGCCACGACATCCACTACACTTAATCAATGACCTGCCCGCTGCGCGCAAGCGACTGCCAGCCCTGGTAGCAGCCGCCATGGCCGTACCAGATCAAATGGCCAGCAGAAGCATGGTTAGGGAGCGGAGCTCGAAGTTTTAAGTGCTGCAGTTGCGCACACACTGTCGTGAGTCACGGACATGTACTGGCTTTCCATGCTGAGTGTTGCTCTCTGCAGCTGTGGAGCCAAGCAACATTGCATCAAGCCGTCAAGTGCTTCTCTAGCAACTGAGCCAGGTTCGTTGCAAGAGCCCGTGCAAAAGTTTTTACCTCCACGAGCCGTGCTAAGGTAGGTAGTTTCCTAGTCACGTCACTTCAGATGCCTCAACCAGCCAAGAAGAATGACTACGCGGTCACCGCGGACATTTGAAACGGAGCATCTGCGAAAACCGGCGCAGGTAGCAACGCAAGCCGACGTACCATTGAATCTGGAGAGTTAAAGTCCTGCAGAGTTGCCGGAAGTTGGCGTTGACGTGATGCGAGTCGATGCAAGGTCCTTGCCAGCCCCGCAGTCGCTCTCGTCCACCATGCCATGATTCGGCAAACTCCGCCACTTCACAGTTGGCCAAGTACCTTCTGAAACCCATGCGAGGCACCGATGCTCGTCTGCTGGCGCAAATACAAATGCAGCAAGAACCTCCTGTTATTCTACTCCCATCTACCTGGGGAATTGTTGTGTTGGTGTCTACAGCTGCAAGGCTTGTTTAAAGTCACACCTGTGAAGCTTTGATGTTTCTGCACGCTTCCTAGGTCCCCACAACATCGCACACCAGCAAGAACGAATAAAATGGCAAAGCAGGCCTGCCCAGCAGTGCAGAGAAGAATGCCCCGTGGCCGACTACCACTATGCGTTTCCTTGGCCACGGTGGCTGAGCAGCCGAATATGATCTCACAGAACCTTCTGCAGCCGTTGGCCTGCAAATCACCCGAAGTTCCGTACACAATTTGAAAAATAGAGCGTGTACAATAGCACCACTTGCGATCAACATTCATCAAGCGGCTCAGGTTGCGCAGCAAGCCATTCCTGACAGCAGGGAATGCCTTACATGCTACACTGCTACAATGTCTGGTGCCTCCATTGCTTGCAACTCGCAATGATGTGACACGTATTTGAAGGACACTGCCCCAGCCAAGATGAATCGCCTCTTCCCCCTTCTGTTAAACTTGCCAACAACGTCCACAAAGAAATGCTCACGCCATCCCAGTACATAGACATGTTCCATTCTTTGCTGCCCTTCCTCAGACAGACTAAGATATTCGTCGGACTCATCAGACAATGGGCTTGAATGCGATGTGACACCTTCGTTGATTCCAACTTTGCCTGTAGCCAGCCTTTTGACGACATGCCATGACAGAACCATGTCTGGTTGCTGACATGACAACATTGCTTGGAGGTGCCGTTTAGCTATCGCAAACGTGGTAGCAATGCCAAACACAGCTCAAAAACACGTGCATCACAACATGTTTCCCTCAACTTGGCATGTGCGCTCCCGGCCAGCATACTGTGAACTTCATGGAATGCAATTTTGGGCCGAGGGACCAGGAATGCAGGCACACGCGTCTCACGCCAGGCTTTGTCAGTGCTGCACTTTGGCGTCCAATTCTCGTCAAGCTCTGCGAAACCCTCAGGGCGGGAGCTGCTTGCACGCCATGTGGACAACATGCCGCATACATGCCAAGCCAACCTCCCATGTTTCCAGGAAAGGAAACATCCCGGCCAAATCTGACCTTCAACAACCCCCATGCAGCGGATGCCATCAAAACGCATGCAGATCCTCTTGCACATTCCCAGAACGTGCAAACCATGGCACTTGCAGCGGCCCTCATCGGAAACGGAACAGCATCCTGAGCAAAAGCTACAGACCGAACTGGCTGCACAAAGCACAAATACACCGCTTACATCCACCATACAAGATTCGTAATAAAAAAAATTGCTCATGTTATTTGCACATATATGACACAGCGTGTCAGTGCTGGCCGTTGATGCCTGCAGGCGTCAAGGATAATAGCTTATTGAGGTTTTTGTGTCGTGTTCAGTTTGTTCGCCCGTCTAACTAGTCAGTTACGTTTGTGCTTTGGACAGGTAGGCAGCGCAACAGCAAAAGCGGGCAGAGGCGGTCAAACGCTTTCTTTTTGCAGTAAGGCTTTAGTCGCATGAAAATCCGAATCTACCTGCTTGGCTTTGATATTTTGTTCTTGTTTGGTGCACTGTCCTGGATGGCGTTTTGTTCAGGTACATGTTGGCTCCTGGATGCAGCCCCGTTCTGCCCGTACATGCCTCCCCTGTCTGGGACCACATTGGTTCTGGACTTTGCCTGTGAACAGTCCTACCACTAGCACCTTTGTTGCCGTGAATCATACAAGGGGGCAGGCAGGCGTGAGCCTGCTCAAGGCCGAGCTGCCCGGGGTCAGATAAACGGGCAAGCAAATTTGGCGGCCAAATTTTTCAAAACACGGTATGTGTTTGATGCCTTGGACTGATGCCGCGCAAGAGAAAAGCAGTCATGGATTCTGACTGTTTTTGCCCGTCTCAGCTTGCCCGTGTGCGTCGTCGTGTGGAACGAGTTCGTGCAAGCCGCGGCTCTTACAAAAACTCCCCCAAGTCTTGTGGTAGCCCCTTCACAATGGACTGTGAAGTTGGCAAAGCACTGGGTTGTGACAACGTCCCGTATGAAGCCTTTCTTGTGAGGCTGATTGGTGGCAGGCTACATTACACGATTTCTTGGAAATGTGTCGTCTCAACAGCCGTATTCCATCCCTTATGGAAACATGGCATTGTGGCTACTCTCGCCAAGGGTGCAGGCTCCAGTGATCGTAGCAATTATCGTCCAATCACACTTGCTCCCTGTTTGCCAAACTGTTGGAAGAATTGATTTTGAACCGGATCCGCCCCATAATTGACCCCTGTCTGGATGAGTGCCAAACACGCTTCCGTCACGGGTCCGATGTTGAAGCTTACGTGTTGGTTGTAAAATGTTGGAACCGCCGCTTACGTCAGAATGTGCGCACGTACTGTGCTTTTCTGGACATCAGGAAGGCATGGCGCCACGCCGCGGCTGAATCAAATGATTTGTGGCCCTAGTGCTGCGGTGAGCCTGGGATCATCATTTTTGCAGACATGGGACGTAGAGGATAGATGGCATTGGTATGCATTGGTCAAGGCGCTGTCCTTAATGGTTTCTTGGTCTTCGTGTGCACAGCTCACAACTTGTCACTTCGCAGCTACGGCAGAACGGGACAGAACAAGCGTTTTTTAATACTTGATAAATGGGCTCGCTGCCGCCATCAAGCGTGCATGTCGTGGGGTTTCTTACGACTTGCAACGTGGGGACGTGCGAGTGAAGTTTTTTTTTCTCACCAAGAAGCACCACGTCCACTGCAGCGCGCAGTGCTTAGCGCCGTGAGCACCATGCTCAGCGCATTGGCAGGCGGCTGGGGCCGATCGGCTCCGCCAGCGCCATGACTTGATCCATGGGCGGTTCTTGCCCGACAGCCGCCCGGGGGAGCAGCCACGGCGCACCATGCTGACGATTGGGTCATATTAAATGACTGACCCACAGACTTGCAACGTGCACTGGGCGCGGCTCCTGCTTGGGCCATGTCCTGGCGGTTCAAGTTCGGGGTGGGGCCAAAATTCCATCCTCGCGCGCCCAACTTTTTCTTAGGGAGTCAAGTTTTGCCTCGTGTGAAATTTTATACGTGCCTCTGAAAATGTGTCATGGAAAACTCACATTGACCGTGTGCTCTCCCCTGGTGGGAGCAAAATGGCAGCCTGTTTGTTCTTGGACGGGTTCGGCCAGTCTTCCCCCTCAGTACAGATACCTGGGGGTAACAATTGATACATGCGTGTCATGGACACACCATGTTTATGCGCTCCTATGCCATTGGGAGCGCAAAATGGCCGCATGTTTGTCCTGGACACGGTCTGCGGATCTGCCGGTCTGTTTCGTGGAACGGATCTTTCCAACATGTGTCCGCCCCTTTGTCTGTTTCGGGCTTGAATTTGTTGACCCCGGACCTCAACTCCGACGGGTCCAAACAAGATTCCTTCAATGGGGTAGGCGCTTGTTGTGATGGCCACGAGGTAGCCCAGGGGTTGTGGTACAAGGCCGGCTGGGCAGGCATGATGCAAGCACCGTGCGTGTGCAACAGGCAGCCAGTCTTTTTTTTTGTCGCGCACTTTTTTGCGTCTGCGTCATGAGCGACGGTCGGGCGCGCATTCGGGAATGCTGCAGTGTGGGCCCAGCCTGCTCAGCCTCTCAAGCGGATGGCCCGGGCCGGTAACACCCCACCAGTTGCGCAGGCTGCACGATGGTCGCCCCAAGGGTCGAGCTGGCCGCGGCAATGGCAGTGCCTGGGCACGAGCGGGAGAGGCAGGCGCAGCCTGCGGAACCGCGCGCTAGGGATGACGACCTCCTCGTGCGTAGGCACCACGTTGAAGGCACGTGAGGAATGCGGGCCAGCCTGCGACAGCAGCAGCGCTCGGTGACTAGTGAGAAAGGTGCGTCTCGAGCGCGCGCTCATCGCAGGCAGAGGCCGCATGCCGCTGCCATCAACGCAAGTGATCGGCGCCCAGCCAAGCCAGCGGCGGTTTCCCAAGCCAGGACTTCAAAGCCTTGCGCACGTAGGTAAATTGCTGCATGTTGCGCGGCTCGCAATGCCGGAGTCTGCTCGGCCTCAGGGGCGTGCAATGCCTGCAAGATGCGCTGCGCGACCTGAGGCGCTTGGTCACGAACAACAGGGAGCGCGTCGCACCAGGAGGCCAATGTGCCGCATGACGATCAGCCCTCGCGCAACGCAGGCCAAGTCCCCCAAGCCGCGCCGCGAGCTGGGCTGCACTTGCGGCCTCTTCCGGCAGCGGGGCGTCCGCATAGCCGAGAAGCTGGGCCAGGCACCGAGCGACAGCTGTGTCGTGAGCAGCGGCGTATTCCTCGCTGAGTGTGGGGGGCAATACTCGCAGCAAGCAGTTTGCCCTCGGCGCAGCGCAGTAGCGCAACGCTCAAGGAGCCGGTCTTGGGCAGCATGTTTGATGCGGAGCTGGCACTGCACAAAGGCATCGGTTCCGAGCGGCGTGCCCAGCGCGACGAGACCCTGCTGATCCTGGGGCAACGCCCAGTCCCCGACCTAAACCGGATCATCGCCCTCGGGCTGGAGGTCCCGGATGCCCTGCGGTTCCTCGCCAGCGGCATTCCAGGCCTTGGTTTTGGAGCGGTTGAGGCGGACGCGCGCATGCTCCCACAGGGCAACCTCGACGTGCTCATGCAGCTGGAGGCCCCGCTCAGGCGCAGCAACGACGTAGATGTCATCCAGGAAGGCAAAAACGGCTTCGCCATCCCGGAGCTGTGATTGGACAGCTTGCAGAGCACCGTGCGCGACCAGGGAGTACAGCCCGGGCATGAGGGGGTCACTTTGCTCGCCGCCCTCAGTTTGGCACACCTCGTGGCTGCATCCTTGGTCGTCCGTCCACACGTAGCGGCTAGCTGTGGCGTAGAATTGCCGGGCATATGGGAGGAGAGGCTGTAGCGTTGGTTGCGCATGCAACGCCGCCAGCATCGCAGCCCGGGACAGTCGAGTCGAGCCCTGATCGCCCGAAGGCGTCCCTTTTACGGTACAGGTGAGACAAGCAATAGCTTACAAAAACTACATCCATCATGCTCTTTGCCCGATGACAAACTGGCAAAACTCATCGCGCGACTGATTCCAAAGTCTGTTGTCTAAGGTTGCTGCTTCCCAGCTGTCCCATCGTTTCCAGCGAGCAAATGTCTCGAGACAAGATGCCCACATATTGTGGGGTCTACCCAAAGCAGGTCTCCCAAGTGGTTGCCATGCCAGCGCTCGCTTGATCCACCTGGTATTTGGTAGATTAGCAGCATGCAACGCAAAGTTCCAGTAAGAGCGCAAACAATCTTGTCCCCAGCTCGGGCGGCGCAGACCTTCCCAGTGTCGCATTGCTTTCGCATTCCAATGGTGAAAAATGATGTGCCAGGGCATGTCCCATTGAATGTCAGCCGGAGGCCCCACAATTCGCCGTAATGTTGGACCCTACATAATGCAGGGGTCCGGAATAATGAAAAGTTT